GTTCTGGTTCTGGTAATGTTTCGTTGCTGCATCCATGTACTGGCATTTTTGCAACGGTTTGGGGTATGATGCTGCTATTCTAACAGCTCCTAGCTGATGCCAGGGCAGCCTTGAAGCTTTCAACTGATGTCGAGTTCACAGTGGCATCGTTCAGGTGGTTCCATGCTATCATTGTGTGTGGGAAGAAAGATTGTTGATACTGCACTGTGTGCCACTGAGGCACTTTGAAGCATTTGCTATTGTTTCTGGTGTAATTGTTTATGGGAATGTCAGGGGTGAAGTCCGTGTTCAGTGAGCGTTTTGCTCTGATCAGTCTACCCGGCTTCTGTGGGGTGAGGTACGTGCCTGCCTGGGTGCGAGAATTAATTACTCTTGGAATAAATAATCTGGTACCTTCAATGGATTCGGTCAGGATTTAATTTGTCTGCACCATGTCAATAAAGTGTTGCATTTACCTAGTCCATGTTAATAACTGCTAATGTGCTAACAACATCTAATACTGGCTGCGGCTATTTGGACCCTATTCGGGTATAAGAAGTCAGAGTTGGGTTTATTGAAAAATATTTAAAATATTATTGTCAGAGTTTGTAAGAGAAAATTAAGTCTAAAATGAAAGATAATTGAAAGGACTTTATTTTTGTTAACTTACTTGTTCAGTTTAACTAAAATAAACTACCAAAAATGACATGCGAATGGCATTCAGTCTGAAGGGACCCGGACACGCAAAGCCGCTATTCGGACCCGGGTCCCTTTAGACTTAATGCTATTTGCGTGTCATTTGTAGTAGTTTATTTGAGTTAAACTGAGAATTAAGTTTACAACCATATAGTCCATATAGTCCACTCAATTATCTTTCATTGATATCAAATTTTTTCTTACAACCCAACAATAATATTTTAAATATTTTTTTTTATTTTAACCCCTCACTTCTGGGACCATGATCCAAATAGCTACTTCGTACAATAATAATCAAAATTTTATATTTGTAATATTTGTATTATTGTTATTACTGTATTCTTAAATGTTTTCTTTTTTGTTGTCGTTTTTGGTGTGGTTAAATTTATATTAATACGCACCCCCGTTACCAAATATTTGGAAAAACATAAATACATTTCAAGTGACGACAATTGAAGCAAGCAGTCATGAGTGATCGTGAAAACGGGATTGTGAAGTGTTACACACATGAACCCGAGCTCTTGGAAAAACAGTCACGAATTGGGTCTAACGCTCAGCTACACACCTCCCTCCCCCCCGCGC